GCTCAGCAGGCCTTTTGTGCGCGCGCAGCCGGCGGCCCCGGCGTGCTCAGGAGCTGCCGCCTTTGTTCGCCAGCAGAACGCGCCGCGCGCGCCCGAGCCGCCCCGATTAGCGGGTTATTGCCGAGATGGACACGATAACGCCGTGTAAACCTCCCTGCAAACACGCGCAGCCGCTCCTGTGTTTGAGGAGCTGATTAAATCGCGTTGCTCTCTGATGCCATGTGGGTGATTTTTATTTTTTATTTTTTTTTTCTGTTTACCTCCTTAAAATTGAAAAAAGCCCGAGCAGAGTGGGCGGCTCTTAGGAGAAAACTTCCTCTCCGGAGCATGCAATTCCCTCCCAAAGCATGCCGTAAAGCTCGGATAATGCATGCTTCTCTGCACCTCCCGAGCCCACCCGTTCCAGGGATTTATATATTTTGCAAGGGGCGCATTTGGGTTGGGGCAGCGGGTGGCATGGGCTGACCCTCCCTGCGTTTTCCCTTCGCTGCAGGACCCCCCCTATTTCACGGTGCTACCAGGCTGGGAGTACAGACAGGAGGCAGGGAGGGAGCTGTTGATTCCTTGTGCTGCTGCGGGAGACCCCTTTCCTATCATCGCCTGGAGAAAGGTACCCGGCCTGCCAGACAAATCTGCAGTGCCTTTGGCTTTTGATGAATATTGCAGACAGAGAAGCCACACTCTGTCCCGGTAAGAACAAACTGCAGGTACAGCTGCTTCGCTTTGGGCTGAGCCACTGCCATCCTGTCCCGCAGGTGGGTGGGGGAAGCCCGGCTTGCGGCAACAACACGACCACCAGAAACAGCCACAACCGCCCCAAACGCCCCGTATCTGGGGCCGTGAGCCCTGCACGACGCCCTCCTCGTCTTCCCGGCCCTCCTGCTCTGCTCCTGCCAGCAGGACGCGGTGCGGAGCCTGCCGAAGGCTGAGCCGGCCGTGGCCGCGGTGGCTTCATGGCAGCAGCTCCGGAGGATCCCGGTGCCTCCCGGGATCCAGGGGGAAGCCACCGAGCCCTTGACCCCAGTGTGTCACTTCTCTCCAAGCCTCCCATCCCTTTCTGACCCCTCGCAGGGGTTTGGGAAAGCTCCAGGCCACCCGCTTGGCAGAACTGGGGTTGCCCCAAGACACCGGCGTGGGGCAGAGGGTCCCCGAGGGACAACCAGCCTGGGGGGCTCCTCTGGATGCTGCCAGCCTGGACCAGCGCTCACTGTCCTTGGTCGCATGGACTGCGCACGACCTACCTAGAACTTGTTCACACTGGAGTCCTTTGATCCATCTTATCTTTTTCCTTTCCCCTTCTGACCGTCTTTCTTCTTATCTAGGTTTCTTTT